TCGCTTTTATGTTTGTGAATCCTCTCACTGTACGAAGCATAAATCCTAGATTTCTATAAGCTTTTTTACAGATGCTCATGATGTGATCATAGAAAGTAAGCTTTGTATTAAAAGTTACTCCTAAATCCTTAACTTCTCTGACCCTCGTCATCAGCAGCCCGTCAATGTGATAATTATGTAAAATAGGAGTGTGTGCGCGAGAGAAAGTAATTAACACACACTTAGAGCTGTTAAATTGCAAGAGATTGTCTTTGCTCCAACTCACAACCCTATGTCCCTTTGTAGTCTGGCACGGTCATCCCCATTTTTTACCGCAAGAGACAATTTGAGGTCGTCAGCAAACAATAAACACTTAGCGTCCTGATGATAAACGACCTACCTGAAGTGGTGAACCACTTCTGGTAGGTCGTTTATCATCAGCAAGAACTCCAAAGGGCCAAGGTTACTGTCCTGACTTACCCCGGACCATGTGAAATATGGATCTGACTTATGTCCCGCATATTCTACATATTGCTGCCTATCAGACATATGACTAGCAAAAAAAGTACAGTAAATGTGGGGTAAAACCCATACCTGCTAGCTTTTTAAGTAATACGTTATGATCTACCAAATCATATGCTTTTTTGAAGTCAAAAAATGCATCCGTTTGCACCCCTTTGTTTCCACTCGGTGCCAGATGTGCCATCTGACAGAGGTTACTGGTTGTACTCCTTCCTGGCCGAAACCCGTGTTGTGCATCTGAGAGTTGTGCGCTCACCTGATGGAATATTATCTTATAAATAGTGGCTTCGAATACTTTTGCCGGCGTATACAACACTGCAATAGGCCTGTACCCATCCACTGACTCTACTGAACCTTCCTTTAGAACCGGAACAACGCGGGTTACTTTCTACCTCTCTGGAAACACCGCAGCCGTAAGGGATTTGTTATATATATGCAGTAGTGGCTTAGCTAGTACCGAACCGACAATCCTTAAAGATGTAAGGTGGAATGCCGTCAGGTCCTGCAGACCGTTTGGGCTTGAGTTCTTGAAGCGCACTACATACGTCCGCCAACTGTAATTGGTCAAAGTGCACCCACGCTGCTCCGTTTCCGCTACCTGCTCCTATTATAGCAGAGCCCACGTCCAACTCCGGTCGCTCTGAACTATAAACAGAAAAAAAAAATACTCCGCGAACTCGACACACTGTTGATCAGACAACGCTTCCCCGTCTTTCAGAATAATAATAATAATAATAATGTATGATTTATTTTCTCACCACAATATTACAGAATTATTGTACATAATATTAGAATATTACACCTTAATGTTATACTGTGGGAGACTGGTGCCTAAGCTAGGCTTTACGCCTGTATTTCAGGCCACCAGGTCTCCGCCCTATGGTTGTAATTACAATACTTTTACCATGTACATGTACCATATTTGTAATTTACATAATGTACCTTCTTTTACTGAACTAGTATTTAATATATATTTAAATCTGGTGCTAGTATTAGTCTGTGTGTGTGTGTGTGTGTGTGTGTGTGTGTGTGTGTGTGTGTGTGTGTGTGTGTGTGTGTGTGTGGGGGTGTGTGTAGTGCGTGCGCGTGTGTGTGTGTGTGTGCGTGCTTTTGTTTGTTAGTAGTGTAGTAGTAACTGGGATAGAAATTAAATTTAGGATTGGGTTAGTATTTAACTTTAGTACGGATAGTAATTAGTTAGGATTAGTGAGTAGCTTTTCAGTGTTATCATAATTTAATTCTTGTAGCCAGATAGTTATTTTATTTTTGCATGTAGTCTTATTGACGTTAAATATAGAGATAATTTTATTGATTTTATTGTATAGAAAACCTCCGAGGTGACAAAAGAAACGTTTAGATAGTTTGGTGGATAGAGTTATATGAGTGCGGTCCACGGGGTTAAAACGCCTTTTCCCTCGGGAAAGTGAGGGATTGTATTTTAATAGAGCATGTTGTTTCAGTAAGGTTCTTTGTATAAAAAGTTGCCGTACAGTTAATATTTTCAACTCTTTATATAGGAGCTCTGTAGGATAGTGATACGGCAGCGAAAACGAGACTTTTAAGATGGCTCTCTGCGTTCTCTCCAATTGGAGCATTATTGATTTTGGAGCACCGCCCCAGGACGTAATACCATATGTTAATAGTGATTGGGCCAAGGCAAAATATACGGATTTCTTTAGTTTATCATCTGCCGCGTCTCTCAGAGTTTTAAATACATATATTAATTTACGCAACCTGCTATTAAGTGTATTAATGTGTTCATGAAAACGTAGAGTGCTATCGATAATAACTCCTAGATATTTTACTCTGTCAGCTTGACGTAGTTGTGTGCAGGTGTCTGCATTATTGAGTGGATTGCAACACGAGTGACTTACGATGGTATGTGATAGAGATGATGTGGTTAATGTTTTGTTTTTTAATCTGAACGGGACATAACATGTTTTATCTATGTTCAGTGTCAGAACGTTATTTCGAAGCCAATTTGAGACAGTGTTGTAGCCCAACTGGGCGTATGCATAGACTTCTTGCCATGTACTTGCACTAAAAAGGAGGACAGTATCATCTGCAAAACTTATGATTCGCCCTTTAGGAAGTGTGAGCATACCCAGTTCGTTAATATATACTAGAAATAAGGTTGGAGAAAGTACGCTGCCCTGGGGCGTTCCATAGGTAGTTGTGCATTCGGCACTGACGAACTTATCCACCTGAACGCGCTGAGTACGTCCACTCAAGTAGTCTTCAAAAAGTCGCAGTTGTGTACCTCTAATTCCCATACTCTCCATCCTACGTAAAAGTATGGGTACAGAAACCGTGTCGAAAGCTTTGGAAAGATCTAGAAAAATGCCGAGAACTTTCTGCCCATTGTCCAAGTTTGTAACAATATAATTTGTGAGGTCATGAATCGCATCGGACGTAGATTTGCCTGACCTAAAACCATATTGTGAGGGCGATAGTAAGTTATATTTTTCCAAATAGTTTACGAGCCTGTTGTTCATTATGCGTTCAAGTATTTTGGACAAGGCAGAGAGCACGGCTATAGGTCTATAGTTATCGGCACGATCTCTGTCCCCACCCTTATAAATCGGGTGTATAATCGACTTTTTAAAAGCTTTGGGGAATTTTCCGGTTGTGAAAGCAAGATTGCAGATATATGTTAGGGGTGGGACAACTACATTAATATGCATTTTAAGGAGATGAGAGGATATTCCATCCCAACCCACAGCACAGTCGTTACGGAGAGATATTATTAACCTTGCAACCTCGTCCTCATCCGTTGCTAACAATACCATCGACTGCGAGTTGTTGTTAAAAGCTTTTTTTGCTGTCTCTGTCAGTCCACCCAATATATTTTCCGCAAGATTTTTACCTACGTTAGCGAAAAAATCATTAACTAAATTAACAGATAGCTCCGGAGAAGATGATAGAGTTAGTGGGGGATATAGAAGTGATGGGATGAATTCTCTTTCTTTTTCGCTCTGTTTGTTATGTTGTTTATTGCTCCCCAGAGTTGCTTAGGATTATTATTAGCTTTTTTTTAATTCATTTTTTTCATATTCCAGTTTAATTTTTTTTAACAACTTATTACAATAGTTTCTGTACCTAGTAAAAGATATTTTTAAGACTTCGTTATCTGGCGACTTCTTTGATTTTTTGTGTAAGTTATCTCTGTGTCGAATACAGCGTAAAAGGCCAGGAGTTATCCATGGCTTAACGATTTTTTTACGGTTTGCTACTTTCACGACTTTAGTGTTTTTTTCGACCGCCTGTTTGATAAGACTTATCATTAATTCTGCTGCTACATGAGGATCTTGGGTATTATATACTTCACCAAAGTCGATTATTTTCATGTCGTCAGTCAATTGATCATAGTTAATGCGCGTCGTTGTTTTTTTCACCGCTATTTTGGGCATTTTGCTTGCGAGAAATAATAACACGGTATCATGATCAGTTAGTGCTGAATGGGCGACTAATGTGTAAGCAGGTAATAGAGTTTTGAGGACAAAATGATCAAGACATGCATTTTGTCTAGTGGGCAAAGAATGTGCAGGCAGTAGGCCGTGTGACGCTAATAAGTTTAGGTAATTAAGCTTGCTTATGTCTTGGCATTCGTCATGGATGTTAATGTTTATGTCCCCAGTTATTATTATATTTTTGTAATGTGTGATATTAGTCAAGGTTATGTTAAGCGAATGCAGGAAGTTAGTGACATCTCTATGGCTTGGTGGTCGATATATTGCTAATAAAATGGTATTTTGGTTTATTTTTATTTGTAGACAATTTGCATCTATAAATGGGGGTTCTTCTACAGAAACCTGTAGGTTTTCATGTACGTATATAACAACACCCTCGTTTTGTGTTAGATTGTTAGCAGTATTAAAGTATTTATAACCTGTTAGGTCAGGGATATTATGTGTATTGGGAAGCCAACATTCAGTTAAGGTGATTATGTCCCAATCAACCTTAGTCCTAGCGAGTGTGGTATAAAAACCAATCATATTTTTTGAGATACTTCTAATATTTTAATTAAGTATTTTGAGTGATTGCTTAGTGTTGAAGTTTAGTGGGATGCAATTGTCTAAGTCAAGGTAGATGAATTCGACACTGAGACAGAATATATGTTGTATGTGTTATTTAGTATATTGTCTACTATTGTGGTGTTTATTTTTCCTAGTTACATTTTTATATGTGACATTTAATAGAGCTAAATTGATAATGACAATTAATTGGTCGCCAGAAGTAGTACAAAAAGAGAGCTTATAGCATTTATATATTCTCGTGTTGCACACAGCACATGAGTTCTTAGTTAATAACATTAGTTGTATGTAGTGTATGTATGTATTTGTTAGTGTAGTATTTGTGTGTTCTGTAGAATGTTGTATGTATATGAAATGATGTTGGTGATTAATATAGTTTTTAAATTTAATTTTATAAACTTGTAACAAGAATAGTATTATAATATATTTGAAGAATATTGCTAAAGATAAAATAACGCAGTCTAGTCACTTTTGTCTTCGTAGTTGTGCTAGATCATCTTCTGTCTTGATAAGTCGGCTGGGCATCCCTTCCTTTTTGCGTATGTACACCTTACCGTTGGCTGTCCAACATTGCTCGTATTCACTACTCTTAATAAACTCTCTTGCAAGGTAGTAGAGTCGCTTTGTCATGGCGGTGAGCACTTCAGAGACGTATAAGAAGTGCTTAGGTCCTTTTTCTTGTAAGTGGGTTGTGTTAAGACGGTTTTCCTTGTTCTGTTTATTATAGATTTTAGTTGACTTCAAAAATAGTTGCTTTGCTGCCGCTGACGAGAATTCCACAATAACTGTACCCACTGATTCCTTCTTACTCTTCAAACGAAAAATATTTGCAATATCCTGTTCTAGTACGGGATGATTAATAATATTGCCAAGTTTTTGGATTGTGCTTATTAGGGTTTCACGGGTTTCAGGACACTGTAATGGTACATTTTTTATTTCAAGTGATGCTGCTCTCAAATTTTTTTCCAAAAAGTCTACCTTATTTTCTAATGTTTTTATAATCTGCTGATTTTTGTTACACTCTGCTTTTAAATTATTAATCTCAAGCACCGCCTCATCATATTTGTCAGACAAAAATGACATGATTTTTTTGGATTTCTTCGTTTTGAGTACGGATTTCTGAGTTTTGAATAGCGATTTTTGCGTTTTGAGTTCGAATTTCTTCGATTGCCATTTGCAGGGTATCTATTTTATTGTTTTGTTGAGTTTGGTTCGATACGAACTCCTCAAACATGGTTTTCATATCCATCATCATTTTTTCCATTCGTCCTAATTCATCCGACTCACGTTTTCTTTTCCTTTGCGTTATGTTTAAGTTTTCATTATTGGGGCACGATGTTAAATTCGGTTCCGATGTGTAGTGGGGTGATGCCGGAGCATTAGGAGGCGAGCGTCGTATCATGGTTTAGTTTAAGCTTTTTTTTGTTTTATTTTATTTTATTAGGTACTTATAAATGTTTGTTTATTTTAACTAACAAAATTTTTAGAATAATATTTAATTTACTCACAAGGCAATCGCTGATACGACGGTTTTTGGAAGTTGCCGAAATGACGGTGGATTGGTAAAACGGTCGCCGCTCGAAGTTGAATATTATGTATGTAGTGGCAAGGCCGGTCATTCACACGGGCCTGTTAGTTCGTTGACACTATGACTCACACTCGCAGTTTATTCAATATTTTATTTATCCTTATAGATTAACACTGTATTATCTTATGATTTCTTAACTAATTTTGCAGTTGGGTTTTTAAACTATGTAGTCCATGCACTTTACTACATAACACAACTTTTTTTTAAATCTAAAGATTAACTTTATACTCAATAGCGAATATTAACTACGGAGACCAAACAGGTACGTGTTGTTGCGCGATCACCTGCGGGCGGAATCCAATTGTGGACTTCTTTTACGTCTTTTAGATTTAATAATGTTTCCAAAAAGATTTTGGAACATTTTAACATTTGATTTAGAACACGTTATTGATACTGTTCCTGTGCGAGTCCTATCATTTTCTTTACTTTGGTCCTACACTGAGCAAACGCCTCGTAATCAGTTTTCGATCTACTGGCCTTGTACTTATGTCTGCCTTGTAATCTTATGTCGCGAATTATTTCAACAGTGTACCACTCCGGGTAAATGTACCTCGAGTTTACACGACTTCGCTTTTTTTTGGAACACAGTCATCTATAGCAGAATTCATAATTTTATAAAAATATTCTAAGCTCAGCCGTGTAGTGACGGTTGAGAATATCCACTACTCCATATCTTCCCGTGGGTATCGTAAGAGGTGACAGAGGGACACAGAAAGGAGATGGCCAGCAGCATCTTCCTAATAACAACTGTGATATAATAAAAAACTGCGGTTGCCAAACCGCTCGCCAAGCGTGGCAACTATGGCAAATATGAATGAATAACGACGCAAACAAACGGCCCCCAGTCCCCGGCGGCCCCGCTATTCCTGGCTACTTTGGCGACCATGGTAATGGCGCGGCAGGAGGTGTTAAGAATTTCCGGTGGAGGTTCGGTTGCCACCTACGACGACTCGAACTGGCAACATATAACGCACGCACCCTAAGGACTGATGAGAAAATATTGGAGCTGGAAGAAGAGGTAGACAAGTTGCGCTGGCCTATTATTAGATTATCCGAGGTCCGAAGAGAGGGGGAGGACACGGTAATCCTCGAGTCCGGAAACTTGTTCTATCACTGGGAGGGCGACCATTTGTCCCAAGGAGGTGTCGGATTTATCGTCCACAAGTCTCTCGTCAACAACGTTGTAAAGATTGGGAGTGTGTCGACGAGAATCGCGTACCTGATACTCAGAATCACCAAACGGTATTCCCTGAAGGTCATACAGGTTTACGCAACAACCTCGGCACATCCCGATGAGGAGGTGGAGGAAATGTATGAGGATATTTCCAGAGCCATGCATTCCTCCAAAACCCACTACACGGTGTTGATGGGAAACTTCAACGCAAAACTAGGCACAAGAGAAAGCGGTGAGCCGAAGGTTGGGAAATTTGGAGTAGGGCGACGGAACCGAAGGGACCATCAGCTGGCCGACTTTATGGAGAAAGAGGGACTCTTTATGATGAACTCTTTCTTCCAGAAGAGGCCCCACAGGAAGTGGACCTGGTCGAGCCCCGACGGTACGACAAAAAATGAGATTGACTTCATTATGACGACCAGACGCCAACTGTTCAGTGATCTCTCAGTGATCGCAAGGGTGAAAACTGGCAGCGATCACCGAATGGTTAGAGGCACACTGAACCTAAATGTTAAGTTGGAGAGGTCTCGTCTAACGAAGTCAACGCTCCGTCCCCCTCGTGCTCTAATACAGAATCCCGAGACTTTTCAGCTCGAGTTACGCAACCGCTTTCAGTGCCTAGAAGATTGCAATGTAGTGGACGATATGAATGACAAGCTCGTGGAAACTGTCCATACAGTCGGAGCTAAGTTCTGCAAGACCCACCGCAGAAGAACACAAAAACTCTCCGATCACACTCTTAATCTCATGGCTGTTAGACGGGAGATGAGGCTGTAATCGTCAACAGATTTGACAGCATACAGGTAACTGAACAGACAGATCTCCAAATGCATGCGGCAAGACTTACGCAACTTTAATACCGCTGGTATAAAGAGGCGATCGGGTGGAACCAGGGCCCCAAAGTCATTGCCAGAGATCTGTCTGCCAGAAAGAGCCAACTGTCAAAGCTGAAGACTGAGTGTGGCAGCATCGTTTCCGGGACACCTGAGATTTTGAGTGAGATTGAGAGGTTCTATGGGCAGCTGTACACATCATCGTTGAAGCCACACGCAAGTGTGAGTAACGATACAAGAGCAAGTCTTACCCGACACTATTCCGATGATATCCCGGACCTCAGTCTGAGCGAAATTAGAATGGCCCTCCAGCACCTTAAAAACGGCAGGGCCCCAGGCGAGGATGGAATTACAGCGGAGCTTCCGAAAGCGGGTGGAACACCGGTACTTGAAGTCCTTCAGAGGCTTTTCAATTCCGTCCTCCATGGTGGCACTACTCCGGAGGCGTGGAGCAGAAATGCGGTGGTCTTGTTCTTTAAGAAAGGCGACAACGCTCTCTTGAAGAACTACAGACCGATTTCCCTTCTGAGCCGCGTCTACGTGCTGTTTTCGAGAGTCATTACGAATCGTATCGCACGCAGACTCGACGACTTCCAGCCTCCCGAACAAGCCGGTTTCCGATAAGGCTTCAGTACACTAGACCACATACATACCCTGCGGCAGATTGTACGGAAGACCTAGGAGTAAAATCTGCCAATTTGCCTGGCGTAAGTGGACTATGAGAAAGCCTTTGATTCCGTCGAAATTTGGCAGTGCTTCAGCGGTGCCAAGTTGACTGTCGGCATATCGAGGTACTGAAGTGTTTGTACAGTAGGGCTACGATGGCTATCCGAGTACAGAACCAGAGTTCGAAACCTATCCAACTGCAGAGAGGTGTAAGACAGAGTTACGTTATATCCCCGAAACTCTTCACCGCTGCGTTGGAAGACGTTTTCAAACTACTGGACTGAAAAGGATACGGTATTAACATCAATGGCGAGTACATCACTCACCTTCGATTTGCCGACGATATAGTCCTTATGGCAGAATCGCTGGAGGACCTTAGCACTATGCTCAATGACCTCAATGGTGTGTCCCAACGGATAGGTCTTAAGATGAACATGGACAAAACAAAGATTATGTTCAATGTCCATGTCACACCTATGCCGGTAGTTGTGGGGAGCACTATGCTCGAAGTTTTTGACGAGTACGTTTACCTGGGACAAATAGTCCGACTAGGTAAGTCCAACTTCGACCGAGAGGTCGATCGACGGATTCAACTCGGCTGGGCAGCGTTCGGGAAATTACGACATATCTTCTCGTCAGGTATACCTCAATCTCTGAAAACTAAAGTGTACAACCAGTGCGTGTTGTCAGTGATGACTTACGGATCAGAGACGTGGTCCTTCACTGCTGGCCGTATGAGGACTCTTAAGGTCGCTCAGCGAGCTATGGAGAGGGATATGCTCGGAGTTTCTCTGCGTAATAGACTCAGAAATGAGGATATCCGCAGTAAAACCAGAGTGACCGACATAGCCCAACGGATTAGTAAGCTGAAGTGGCAATGGGCCGGCCATATAGCTCGAAGAACCGATAACGGATGGGAAAGAAAGGTTCTCGAGTGGCAGCCTCGTACCGGTAGGCATAGTGTAGGCGACCCCCCACTAGATGGAGTGACGACCTGGTAAGACATGCAGGAAGTCGATGGATGCAGGTGGCTCAGGACCGTGCTTTGTGGCATTACTTGGGGAAGGCCTGTGTTGAGCAGTGAACTTGTGAAGGGCTGTAATGATGATGATGATGATGATGATGATTCTAAGCTCATTTCTAAGTAACTTAAAACATATGTGGATTATATGCTGTTATCTTCTTTAGTAATTATATATTTTACAATTCTTTCTATACGTTTCATTCGTTCATTTACAATTTTCATATTTTCATGTAGAGATACAGTACTATTTATAAGAGAGTCAAGCATCTCTGAGATTATTGTTATTTTCTTATTAGTGTGCGTTTGCTGGGTCTTTAATTGAGATATGAGATTGTCGTATTTTACTGCATCATTCATCATTATGATCTAAGTTTCCTGTAAGCGCTTTGATAACAGAACCTAATGGATTAATAAGACCGCGCTTGAAACGTATCGAAGGTATGAGTTGTTTAAACTTTTCTCAGCTAAGTTACTTAAATAATTTACTTGTGTGTTCATATTTTGGAACTTACGGCTTACTCATTTACGTATGGCTTATGGATATCTACTAAACTGCTAAATTCTTTATATTTATTGATATTAAAATTTAAATCATCTTTTATGCTACTAAAGTCTAACTGCTTAACTATAACCAACTTGTCTACTTCCTTGTATGCTTGTCCTTGCTTTACGGGTAACATGTTTAAATTTTCAAGTAATAACGTGTCCGTTTCTAGATCAGAGTGATCTATTATTTTAGATTTTACATACGATTTATCATCCACACATTCACAAATTTCAAAAGGTTTCTTAATAGAT